GTTTAGATAGCAAATGAAATTATATTTACTTTTGTTATCTGACTTACTACAGTTAATTGAATTGTGTTTACTATAAAAGTAATTTGTTTTTGTCAACAGATATGATTGAAATTTGATTTTATTTGAGAGTTTTAAACAAAAGAAAATCAAATATAAAGTTGTAATTATTATGAAATTTTTTATTCTGTATTTTTTATTAAAAATTAATAATATCAAATTGATTAGAAGAATAAATAATGACCTTTTTCTCAAAATTATGTAAAGGTAATTGAAATTGCTGTAATTTAAAAAGAGATTAATTGTAATTTGAAGAAGAAATTAATTTGTTGTTTGAATGATTTCTATATGAATTACGTATAAATGTCAACAGTTAACAACACTGTTAACATATTTAAATCAGAATAAATATTTTTTATATGAAATTTTTTGCTGTTATTTTGTCACTGTAAAAGAAATAATAAAAGGATAATGATGATAAATGAGTATTCTAGATAACTTATAAATTTATCTGTTTGCAAATATAATGATATTATGTAGATTACAAAGTCTATTTCTAATACATATACTTTTTATGAAGTTATATGATTTTTATGCATTTGTGATTAATATTATCTTAGGCAAACATTGAAGAAATTTTTAAGTAGAAGAGAATTGTGTTTTTACATTAATATTTGATATAAAATTGAGCTGAAATTTGATAGCAGTGATCATATGATCTACATGAATTTGTAATGATTGAAAAAAGTTTTGATTTTACATAATTTTACAATTTTGATACATAATTTTGATTATATTTATGTAAAGGTATATCATCAAAATTATGGAAACTCTTCAATAATGAACATTGAATTAATTTTTATTATATCTTATATGGAATTATTCAATTTAACAATTTTTACCTGATTAGTACAAAGCATTAACATTTTTAAACCAAATATATTATAAATGAAATAAAAAAGCTTTAAAAATTATTAATTTGGAGGTGATATTTTATCATAAGGATTTTTTGTGTAATATTAAAATGATTTTATTAATGTCTTTTGCTTGTGGAGGGATGTTTTCTATAAAATGAGAAGAATTTTTTAGTTATTTTAGTAAGTCAATTAAAGCATTTTAAAAATACATCAACATTTAATACTAATTATATAGTTTATATTGCAGGTTAGTTTATAATTTGCTAATATGCTGACTATCTCCAATTGCAGTGAAAGAAATATTGCATTATTTTTTCAACCAATTTAGGTAAGAATATATGCATAGTTGAAAATTTTCTATATTTTTATTTTTTTATTTAAATTTGTTTACAAGAAAACATCAAAAAATTTAATTTACATTGTCATTATATTACACTATACTTTCCTTATCTTATATTCGAAACAACTACATATTATTTGTATACAGTACTATAGATTCTTTGTTTCATTTAGATACATTCAAAAGGTCAATTATGTGAATAAATGTAAAAGTAAAAAACATTTGTAAAAAAATTACTTGTAATTAAAATTCATTAGAGTTAAATAAAATTTTAAATGGCTTTATAAATAAAGATATAATATTTTTCAACTGCAGTGATTTTCTTGACGAGAGTTCTGGTCAAAATGTCAAAAAAATAAATGAAGCTACATATTCCTTGTCTGTTGTGATACTGGATGTATGTATATGAAGGCAGAATTTAAATGTTTGATTTAGATTAAACAAATACTACAAACATCTTTTGTGTATATATGAAAATTTAAAATCTAAATTATATAATTACCCAATATTTAAATTATATGATGACAATTAAGACTAAACAGTTAATACTTTGTCAGGAAATTTGTATGTTTATATATTGTAGCTGATGACTAATAATTTTCATTGGAAGAATATAATTTTTATTCATTTCACATTTTAGATGATGATATGTTGTTTTTAAATTTATGAGTGGTGACAATATAAAAATATACATTAACTTAGTAAATGATTTTTATTGTAAAATGATACAGCAATATTTAACAATAATAGTAAAAATTCGTAACATCAGGTCAGCATTTGACTAATAATAATAATATAGACTTAGTATTTTTTTTTACGTATATTTTAACTATAATTGTTAAAATTATGTTAGATATTGAAAGTCAACATGGTAAATTGAAATTATCAGTTTACCATGTTGACTTTTTTACCAAGATATTTTTAACTTAATTATATTATATATTATAGATAGGATTTAATATTGTTAACTGTTTAATCTAGAAATAAAGATTTTAATGTAGATAAATACTGTCTTCTATATGAATGATATATTTGAATTATGATGTCACTCTATAAGAAATGTAATTTTGTACTGTACCTTTCAAATATTTGTATTATTACACATTTCTTTTTTCTAAATCTATTATCTACTTTATATAGCCATAAATGTTATAATTTCAATTTTTTAATATGTGATTTGTACTCAATAGATATTTTCTTAATGCTAGAACAATGCTATGAATTTGAATCACAGCTCTCAAAATACTCAGTTGATATTTTAAGTACATACATAATATTTAATAAAACATTTAACACCTTATAACACTGAGAATATTTATTAAATCACAAACGTTTTCAGCCTAATGGAATAGGCCATCATCAGGTGACAGGCTATCAAACAAATTTGAAAATTGTGTTAAAACAGAACTTTCGAACATTACAGATTCAAAATTAAAATGTAAAATACATTAACCAATCAATATACAAAATAACTAAAATAAATTGAAGCCATATTAATATAAATAATAAATTAAGACGATAAAAAACAAAAAAAACAAACAAACAAAAATAAACCTAAAAGATTAAATGCACAAAAGGATTAAATTCATAAAAAATATACATCAAAAAGCATCACATTATAAAGGTCAGATAGGAACTAAAAATTTGTGTGTTTTAACTTTTCTTTTATAAAGAACTTCCATGCTGAAGCTAAACTATCAGCATTCCTTGCTTTGATACAGCCGTCCCTTAATTTACTCTTATAAATTTCAATTTTTTTATGTTGCAAAGCCAACAATGGAGACCGCACAGTCTTCAGAATAGATGCTTCATTCCCTTTAACTACTGAAGCCTTTGCTTGTGCCATCCTTGACAAAACCGTGGTACAATGTCCTTTACTAATGTCATATCTGTGTTCTTTAAGCCTAATAGCCAAATTCCATCTAGTGACTCCAATATAGTACTTCATAATTCCTAGCTGTTGGTTTTCAAAGGGAATTTTATACACGCCCGCTGTTTCTTCTTTCTTAAGCTTGTCCTTATCGTTTCTGAGAATACTGTATAAATTCGGACCTCTTTTGTAAACAATTTTGGAGTGTTTTTTGTCTGAAACTTGCTTCATGATGTCCCTGAAGTTTTTATTATACGTGAATTTTGTGATCTTAAATTGATCTGTTCTGGTTCTTAACCTCTTGCCTCTTTCATTATTTTTTTTACATATTTAAACAACAGAAATATATATTTAAATCTGTTTAAAGATGTGTAGAATATGTTTTTTTTTTTCTTTTCTTTATTTAATTAATTGGGCTTATAGATAGAAAAATCAGGTTTGTGAAGACAGATTTGCCTTAAAATTTTCATCTTACACTTTTTACTATTAAAAATGCTATAATTTTATATGTATTTTAGTAATTGACATAAATCAATATCAGTTATGTTTCTGACTAACAATTGAATATTATACTCCCATAACATTTAATTATTTTAAAAAAAGTTATCAAATTTTAAAACTGTTATAATATTTATATCAAAATAAAGACTGACAAGAAACAAATTGTACAACTTGGTAAAAATATAAATTTTATATGAAATTACTTAACATTAAAAGTTGGATAACTTAAAGAAAATTGTCTTTATGTTATCTACCTCTGGATACTACTAATAAATATGAATATGTTGATAGAAATATTTTGTAGAATTTTAAAATTCCTTTAAATTTGAATCTAAAACAAAGATTTGAGAGCAGTTTTTGAAACAATATTTTTATAAAGTTTTATTATACTTTAATGCAATTTCTATGAGAAAGAAATGAGAAGTTATAGAATCTTAAATATTTTTCTTTTAATCAAAAAGTAAGAAATAGTCATAAAGTATTTCTTTTAAAGTTGTTATTATTTGATACATTTTTATATTATATGATGTGCAATTAAAGATAGTATAAGGATAATTAAAATAATATAAACTTTTTAGAAAGGAAACTATATGATGTAAAACATATACTGTATACTAGTAATGATCTGAACATATAGTATGACAAATGTTGCAAACTATATTATTTATTTTCTAAATTAAAATTGTAACTTTTGTAAAAAAAAAAAAAAAAAAAACATTTTCAAATACCAAATTCTGTTTTTGAAGCTATGAAAAAAATTAGTATTAATTTTTCTTTCTGCTTTATACACTTTATTTATAAGTATGGCATGTGAAAACACTATAAAATTTTATATAGCGTGAATTCTTATCATTAAATACGAAAAAAATAATATATATATTGACATGTTTAGATGAAAATATGCGTAAAATCGGAGATAGCGAATTATTTTACGGCCACGCCCCACTATTTACATGGAGAATATTACTATTAGGTTAAATGGAGTGTAGGGAGGAAATATAAATCGATCGCAACATTGTCCATCAAGTATAGTTGACATTACTGAATTCCATTTTCTATACAGTAAACGAAGCTAATGCAAAAATTTCTTAGTCGAAAAGTTATTTTTAAGTTGCATACGAGCCGCAGTTTATAATTTATTATTATTCATTTTTAACACGTCAAATTAATGTGTGTGTGTATAATGCGTTCAGAATTTAATCTGATTTTTCCTATCATTATCCGCCGATAAACGTAGCGATGACGAAACGTAAATAAATAAACAAATAGAAATACTCGGATAAATGACAATTCGCGCGCGCACAATGACGTCAACAGTTATTATTATTACCGAATAATACAGATGTGTGTCGGCCAATAAAGTTAAAATTCGATAATATAGCATGCGTTAATAAATAAAATAGTAACGTTTAGATCATTTTCGCAATATTCGACGAATTTTAATTTCGTTTTTTAACGTTTCGCATTTTCTTATAATTTCCCGCCTTCGTTACATAATGTGACCTCGTATCTGTCCGCCAGTAATGAGTTCAGCGGCATTTAAATGTGACGATCTTTAATGGACATAGTTTTACGCGTAATTTTCGATCTTTTCGCTATAAACCTATTTAAAATTCGACATAGAATCGATAAAATTGTAATATTTCCATATTTTTTCCTAAATCGATCACTCGTGTAGTGGAGGATTATATCCAAAGGCGGATTAATCTTTCGTCAGCTGAGATCGGATAAAATTTCCCGCCATTGGAGACGTTTGTCGTCTGCCGAGATCGTCATCAGAGTTTTTGTAATATTTTATATTTTGTTAGAAAAAAATAACAATGAGTGCAGATGACGATAGAAACATTCAAAAGAGGTTTCAAGAATTGCGCGCCGATCTAAATATGGATAAACAAGCCTCCGATGAAGCTTGGGAGTCTTATCAAAGGATCAGTACTAACTACACGTTAGAGGTTAGTTTAGATTTAGGCTTAATATTAACGTTTTAATTAGATAAACTCCATCATTTTTGTAAACAAAACACACGTACAGATTTGTATATTTATTATGAAGATATATTTCTGAAAATTAATTTATCTACTTCCTTCCAAACTCATATTAAACGTTCCGAAATCATCATTCGCGTAAAATACCCAATAAATTACACAAAAAATATAGTTAATTGAGACGAATTTCGTGTTTATAAAGCTTCGTCATTCATATTTAGTTATTTTCTACACTGAAATCGTTCTGTAGAGTAATGTGTGGACTTTTAAATGTGTTCTGAATCTGTTTATTAGGCCATTAATCGTATAGAGCCTATACATAAAGTGTTTAAAGTGTAACTTTGTTATAGGTTTTTATTAAAGTTATATAAATAGATTAACATTAAATGCATCCATGTGCTAACTTGAAAAATATTCAGTGGCTGATGTAAGTAGTAAGTAGTCATTTTTTTATTTAGTTATTTCTCCCGGGAATTTTTATAATGGTAAGGTTAAAAAATTCCTGTGTGTAGCCTTAGTTATTTTGACAATATATATATGATTGTGATCTGAATACTACATAATACTTTAAAAACAAAAGTCTAATAAAAAAAAATTGACACCTCAGTGTTGTGGCAGCAACACTGAGGTGTCAATTTTTATTTGATTGTTGTGAGGTTTTTTATTTGATTGTTGGCCTGAAGTGTCTTTTTATGAACAAAAGTCTACTATTGAGAGAGTACATTTTTATTTATAAAACTAATATTGTAAATTCCAAAAACAAAAGCAATATCTTCAATCACAATAAAAATATTACTTTTGTTTTCAGAATTTAGAATATTAGATTTATAAATAAAGATTTACTATTTCAATAGTAGATTTTTGTTCTAAAGTTAAAGATCAAAATAAGTTAGATCTCAAATTAAATAAAATCTATAAGACGAAATTGAGTTGATAGATCGGAATATTTATTGATATGTATTCTATTAGATTTCTTATAAAAATATTAGAATCTAAAATCTTCTGAATAAAGTAATTATTGGAAGTTGCCTATATTTGAGTTAGAAAATGTGAAGTATTTATTGTGCCAGTCATGATGTCAAATTAAGTGTAATAACATGATGGGAAAAATTTAATGTCAAATCCAACAATAATACTATTCTATTTTGTGGGTATACATAGATATGCATTATGTAATGTTTATTTATTGAAAAGTAGTAGTGCATACATAAGCATTATTAGATTAAAAAACTATCCAAAAGCAAATTGTGAAAGAGTATTCAAATCCAAACTTTTCAGATTATTTTTAGTTATGATTTTCAATGTTAAAGTATAGAAGAATAAACAATAGAAAAATAATTTTCCTGATGAAGGATAAAAAAACCTTTATAAAATTTTTGTTGAAATCAAAATAATAAAGTATTTGTTTACATATGCATCAGTTCTAATTGTATGGTATATTAGTTATGTTTAATGCAGTTTGTCATCTTTCCATATAATGATGAGTTTATCAAGTTAATTTAATATTCTGATAAAAACTAAATTAAAAAATCATATTACTTATTGTACCATTGTTGCAATGCTAAGCTGTAATTTTTAATCATATTTTAACGTAGCCTAAATAAAAATTTTGAAATAAAATTGTGAGATTTCTGTCCAGACCAGAAGTTTGTATATTGTTATTTTGGGCTTCAGGCCCCTAAGCTTACCATATTTGGTCTCGATTTTCATCTATCTAACTCCATTCTAGAGATTAACAAAGGACAGGCATATGTCAATGGAAATGTATACCTCTGCACTTTGAAAATTATAATTCAATAATACATATATTTTATTATTTAACTTAATTTTTATCAGAATATTGACTTAATTTCCTTAATTATTCTGTAATAATTAATGTTTATGAAACAAACTTAAAGGACACACATTGTTTTATAATTTAGAAGTGATGATAGTGATTTTGCAAATGGCTATTGAAGTTGTTTGTAATCAGTATTGTGATAGAAGTCACACATTATAGTTAAATTGCTTTTCAATACATATTATATTAATTTGTCTTAAAATCTAACTAAAAATTTTATTTATAAATTTAAGAAACAAATTCTTTCAGAATTTTTAGGTTATTTTCAAATTAGAATCTAATTAATATGTAGTTTGTGTTATAGATAGTAGTGATGGCATATCATAAATATTTTAGTAATTGGAATGAATTAATTACTAATTTAGAAACATCTAGAGGAAATGATCAATCTAGACAGGAATCAAATATGCATGCTTTTAAACAGGACAGGTATATTATCAGTTATGTCATCTATGCTCCAATTGAATTTTTGTTACTACAGTATATATACATAGAGGAAGATCAAATATACAAATTATGCTTTCATTACACTAACTGGACACTGTTTTCCCTGATTCTCTGTTCTCACTATGCTTATTTCAAAAATATTAATTAGTTATATAAATGATCATTATTGAAGTGAATTGTTATTATATCATAAATATCTTCAAGCCAATGTTTATTAATCAAGGATGGAACTAATAACATTAGTGTCCTAATGCAGATTTCCAAATGTATAAGGTAATTAATAACAACATGTTAATCTGTAAGTTTTTGGTGTAAAAATAAATTACTAAATGTTAACTTTGGTAAATCTGGTGGCAGAATCTGGACAACATGTCTCTCTTGAATTGTATACTTGCTTACTGGAGAAATCAACTTAAAAATAAAAAATGCTGGATAGTTGAATGGTTTTTTATTTTTAAGCTCTCTTGAATTTTAATGTAGGTGTCGCTGTCAATGATTTTCAAGAATTCTAACATCAATTGGTTTTTAGATTATTTTTTTATTACTTTATAAACAGGATTAGTGTTATTTTATTACTATGTTTCAAAAATATATTTTTGGGCGTTTTTATAAAAATTTTTTAGAGTTAATGATTAATATTTTCATCTGTATTGTTGTAATGTCAAAATTACTTAAAGGGCAACAGTTTTTATGACAAAAGTGGACCTCAATGGATTTTTTTTTAATGATTTAGAATCAGATTTTCCTGAAAAAGATGTTGATAAAAGAATTTAATCAGATGTTAAGTTTGCCATAAATTTCATTTTACAACCAATGCAGATTTATGAAATGTGATGTTCATTGTAAATTAATTTATAGAAATGATAGTGATTTAATTTTATTTCTGTGTAACAAATGCAAGATGAGCTGTTTGCCATATGAAGGAACATTTAAAGATAAATTGGAGAAAATTTCATGGGGAACTATTTTTCCTACATATGTCATCTAATTTGCATAGAGTATGACCTATTTGGCTATGGGCATGAGTTATCATATAGCTGTTGACTGGGCAAATTTTGTAAGACATGTTATGATGATTTCCTTGTATAATTTATCCCAAATGAAAATTGTTGGACCCAGAAAGATTGTTGAAACTGATGAAACTGTTGTGAGTAAAAGGAAAAATGGAAAAGGTATATTTTGAAAGGAACCAGGTGGGTTGTTGGTGGAATTGTGCCTTCTGTTGTGCCAGATACTGTGCCTTCTGCCCTGAAAACAATACCCAAGAAATCTGAAAATTAAAAGAGGAAAAAAGAAGAAACGTGTTAAAAGTATGGGAAAAATGTCAAATAAGATAAAACAAGATGTAGTTACTAAAGATGTTGCAGAATCATGTTCTAGTTTGAAGAAAAGGAAGAAAAATAAATAAAAGTATGTTATAAGTAAACAACACCTTTTTAACAGTCCAGCAAAAACGTTTTCGATCGATTTTAGCGGTCTTCATCAGTTACTCCAATATCAAAAAGAACAAAGTATTCGAAATTTACATAATACAAAATTAAATAAAATTAAATAAACCTGTGGTTGCGCAGAACAACGGAAAAAATAAAAATACATAAATAAATAAATAAATAAATAAATAAAAATAAACAAATAAACCCAAATAAATATTAATGCCGTCATCATGGATACATATATTAACTTGTGTTAGTATAAAATGACTTCCAAGCAGTTGCCAAACCTTCTGCATCTATGTGATTGATACATTCCGTGGCTATATGCGCTTTATGTATTTCTATTTTTTCAAGATGCTTCACTGCTTGTAATGATCTCGTGGCTCTAATGATCGACGCACGATCCCAGTATATGGTTACATCCTGTTGTTTGGCAAATGCCACCAGAACAGTACTATCGATGTTCCTACCTACAGAATATTTATGCTCATTTATTCTTTGTTTTAAACTCCGCATAGTTGCCCCAACATACACGAGGTCGGAATTAAACCGACGATCTTTTATAGGTATAGAATATATACCCATCAAGCTATTTCGATTATCCTGGGATCTAATTACCTAGCCCCAGTGCCTAGCATCTTATCACTTGGCTGTTGCTGGTCATGGATGTGAAACTTCCAAATGTTTATAAGCTAAACACCCAGTTTTCAGATTTGTCAAAACAATTTCTAATGTTTTTATGCAAATTATAGGGATATTCACAACAGGCATTATTTTTGGAAATGCTTGAGAAGTGGGTCTTATTATTTGGACAAGGAGCTGTTTGTGTTTAGGCCTATGTGAACACCATGTTTCGTTGGAATTGGAGACTTGAATGTCTGGCCTTCTCCTTGTTAGCAATAGGAATCATTTTTGAATAATTTTTTAATGAATAATTCCAAATAACACATTTGATCACAATGTTTAAACAATATTTCACTATGACTTGATTCTATATGATTTTCAATTTCATTCTTCTGTCAACAAGTAAAGAATCAAGAACTGAAGAAGATCTCCAATTGAAGTTCAAAAATGTTAGTTGAAAAAAACTGTTTTGGATTAACTGTTACTGGAAAATAATTTAAGGCTTCAGAGTGAAGTATTTAATGTTTCACATAATCTGTCATGTCAAAATTTTTGTTTTAACTTTTTTATGCTGTCAAATAAAATTTTTATTTCTTCATATTTATTTTCAGATATTTTTGCTT